TCCTTTTGAAGGTGCGAAATGTACACCGAACACTAGCACCCAGGTCGTCTAGGAAAGCATACAATTTACCCGGATCTTCAATTGGCCGTGCAATACTGTCTGTATACCATTCACTGGCCAACGCATCTCCATGTACATCATTAGGTTTGACGGTAAAAGGTTATACATTGAGAGGAACATCTAATTCCAGTTCCCTGACTGACAGATGAGATTCGCCTATTTAATTACCAAAACAACGACACTCAGTGCTCCACGGCCGCCAGCATACGATGTAGTCATTCCCTCATCCACACCGAAATAACTCTAATCAGTGCGTGTGGAACGTCCAAACTGTTAGCGACATCTACCTATATAATTGAAATGAGGTTTTTTCCCAATCGGTAATAAATAAGTTCTCATCAAACGTTATGATATATGTTGTGATTTAGTAGCCAGTGGATGAATGAACGTGATCGCCACAGTGTTTTTATTGGAATGTAAGGAAAATTAATCGCGCGCGCTCTCTCTCTCTTGGGTTGTATTTGTAAGGTGCTGGTATTGTACACGTTTTAGTCACCTTGACTAGACTGTATTGTGTGTGTTCAACTGCGTGCTTTGTCAAGTTTAGACATCGGTCCCTGGCGTGACATGCGACGGAAGTCGTTAGCACCTTGTCGATTACGTGTCCGCCCATCACGTTTACACTGTCGCTATGTCGGCACGTGATCATTCGAGCGAACACTAGCGTTTCTTTCTAACTTCATCATGGAAGATATGGATTTCATAACGGCCATGTTGATTGGCAAACACTTGTCATGTTCCATTTGTGTACGGGACACTCAGTGAAGCAAAAGGTCATTCAGTTTGTAATTCTACCAACCGGCATACATTCGCTTGTCACCGTTTGAAGTTTTCAATTCCACATATTGTATGTGCCATTTCTTTTTCATTTTCGGCTATTCCCTTATTCTCTCCAGCACCAATAATAAACGCTATACGACGCTCGTGTCTTACATGTCAATTCCTTAAAGATATCTCAGTTTTCAGGATGAATTTATGGTTAACGATACATTTCTTCAGCTGAAACCTACCCGGTCTTAAGATTTGAATCCGTTGCACTTTTACTAGTGTTATAAATCCACAACAGGGTGCCGGGGCGAGGATAGTTATTTGTTAGGAATAATGGTCGGGGTATCGGTAAATTGGCTTATATACAACAAAATGTCTCATTTGGTATGAGTCTTCGGATTGTGCCTCCCCCCTTCCACACACAGGATAATTAATGACACTGCCCGACAGTGGATGCGCATTCCTGTAGTGACCATACTGACCACACAGTAATTCGCTCCAACAGGTCTTGTTCACTTTTGACCGTTGAAAGAAACCGCCAATCGCATCCTTCTGCATACTACTCACAAATGTGAGTAAAACCTCAACACTAGTGCTCAGCATTCGGTATCAGTGATTGCTTATCCGTTCACCTAAACCCGAGCCAACTGATTTGTATTTATTCCCTTGATTTCGTATCGTTCAAACTTCATCTTTCGTTTTCAGTTTATAAAAACTTGCGTTTCCATGCAGTAATTTTGATTACTGACGAAAGATTGGAAGGAGGAACTAAAAAGAACGGAGAGCATTACCACAAGATAAAGGTGCATAGTGGAGTTGATCTGTCCCTGTGAAGAAATTGATTCTCGGACCGCTTTTAGACCAAGGTAAATAGAAATTTTGCGTCTGCAGACGGATTTGCGAACAATAAAAATACAGTCGATGCAGCCTCGGCTAAGTCTCAAACCAACCTGATTCACGCGGGAACCGTTCGCGTGCGGTAGACAATTGACGGACTACATCGTCAGTGATGTGTTTTGAAACGATGCTAGTTAAACGAATTCCTCCACTTTGCTTACAAGGAGGTCCATCTCTTTTGATGTAGATCAGTACGACGACCGTCTTAGGCCACTCCTTCCGAGCTTGTTCACTTTCCCCGGCTGAACCCAGGAGTTTTTTTTCAACTCCAAAATTGAAACGGAGCTCTCATCTGAACCAGGGGTCCGATATCAATCGACAGACTTGGTATACTTGAAGCAGACTAGGCATTGAATGTCAATGAAGTTCAACCGTGAATTGCAAAAGGTGTACGGTGAAACACAAAAAATTCTGTTATCTTGTATTTTCCATGTCTAACTGTCTCACCCACTTTTCACCATGTTCTGTATCCTAATCCACCTATCCCCTTTCACTGCATTGTTGTTGCGTTGGCACCATGCTTGTTTTCAAGCCGGTGGTAAATATATATATATATCCTTCTCTATCTTTCGACTCATTGTGTCATTGGACTCTTTAATTATCTCACCCAGTCTGTTTTCCGTGGACCCCTGTTGTTGATCAGATAGAACCGAACCCGACCGTTGCTAGTAATCGCATTCTTCTCCATATCCTCGTTTATTTTTGTTACTCTCCATTTCTCACAACCACTTGTTCAGCTTTCGGTGAGCTAACGGTCAAGGGATTTGCGCACAGTCTTATAAATGGCACCCGGAAAATTGCTCTGTTTGCGTGTTTTTATTGTGGGAGTAAGAGGTGAACAGATAGGAAGGAGAATTTTCGAAATGGGTGCCTAAGGCTTCAGTTCATGGTGTGCTTCTCAAAAGGCCACACCGATGAAAGGGTTTTACCTGAGATACACTAATCGAGACCTTCGACCTAATAGTCCGATCTAGAAACCAGTCGGGCATAGATACAACTCAAGGAAGCACTGTTTTCGGGAGCTCCCACAGACCTTTCCCGTAGGGAGTCTCATTTTTGTTTCTGTTCTCCTATACGTCGTCGTTCGGGATTGGTCTTTATTCCCACGTACCTAATAAGAAAGGCGAGACGTTGATGTCACAGTAGTATAATTCCAGAAGATGGTGCCTGAGCGAGGATGGTCGTTTATTGTGGATTACGGTTAGGATATCGATTTTTTGAGATACATATAACATGATATCTCATTTGAAACATGTCATCACAATTGTCGGCAGCACACAACGTAACGAATAGTGCAGTCCGCAGTTATTCTTTGGAGCACAGCAATTCACTCTAAGTGATCTTGTTTATTTTTGGCTGTTGGGATAATTCGCCAATTGCATTATTTTGCATACTACTCACAAAGGTGAGTACGACAAAAGTAGCTTATCTGTTGAGTTTGTAACTATTTGAAGAAGCCCCTGGTACTCTCTTTCTACATTAATCCATCAGGGTATTTTTGAACAATAAAATACTCCTGCCTGTGTTAATTTGCTGAATGGACTTTTCAGGGGTGAAAATGGATGGCAAGAGGAAAGCCGCCTGGTACTCAGTAGTCATCCGCTCCTCGTGAGATCGGGTTTTGTCTGGCCTCTATCCACTGACCTCCCAGTCATAGGACTAAATAGTTTGCCAACTCATGTCATTATTCAACCTGTTTGCGATTGGAAATTGATCTACACACAGTTCTCAGTTTAAACGGTCAACCGTGCAAATAATTGTATGCTGCTGCTGCTGTAATTTTTCGCTGCCATTGGCTTGTTTTGGACTCTGTAGTCCAAATCTCAGGACTTAGGTTACCGGTTTCCATCACAGAAACAGCAGGTCTGTGCGACTATGCGGTTTACCCCGTCTGCCGTTCATCGCATAAGTGTGTGTAATAGAAAAATACAAAAACTTGGCGACCAACCTACACCGGGGTTGAACAAAATTTCTCACGGGTTTTTTTTTGATGACATTCAGTCAGCATTTAGCTTAACGGCAGCTACAAAGACAGACAAAATATACTCGTGGCCCTGGTTCGATACGTATCAGCAAGAGTATAGTGTTTTCTGAATGGATGACGCTGGGTGGATGGTATATCGAATCAGTATCACTTCTCGTACATCCCTGCGCATAAGTAACTGTGGTTGGCCTCTAGTCTATTGTATGCGGATACCATCGGTCTCTACTACTCTACGACTCTCCAACTGATGTGTACTTTTTTGAGGAAAAGTGTTATTTTTTCGCAATTTTCTGTTCATTTCTAGTCGATTTTTGAAACACTCCTTTGGTGGAAATACAGTATAATAATTCTAATTTTTTAATAGACAAAGAATATAGCGAAAAAGCTTGTTTTCGTAAGTTCGTCTTCAGACATTTACAATTACTTGGGTGTTTATATCTAGTGTAGAAATAAATATGATTGGTCCCTTGAGGTCAAGTGTGAAAATACGACAATGTCTGTCAAGTTTCATCCCAATCAAATATAAACGAATCTTAGTCCAATATATGGCCTTTAGAACTCGACTGATTTGCTCCAAGGCTCTGGTGGAGGAAGAACGAAGATTCATCAAATCTACAATAATCGATACCCGGATCATTTCATCGAGAAGAACTTCATAGAAAATTCGACACTGCCAAAGTCAATCATGACCAGGAAGGAAGAACTATTCTCACAGCTCCCGTTTAAAGGCGATACGAGAAGAAGAAGACGTCTGGAAAATACAATTACATGAACATATACAGCCGCCACTCAATGTATGATGTTCACAAGCCGGCCACAGCTCTACATAAACCTCAAGGATAAGCTGTCCATCCTGTCCTCATCTATGATTATATATTCCTTCACTTGCACATGTTCGGCAAGTTACGTAGGATGAACGATGAGGCATTTCTCCCAAAGGATCAAAGAACATAAACTGGCTTAGCTTAGCACGGGTTGCAAGGAAACAATAACCAGCGCGACGGTGGCCTACCTCGCCGATACCGGGCACTAGCCAGACAACGATGCATTTAAGGTTATTTACAAAGTGAATTTTGGAACTTAGCTCGAAAATATTGAGTTCTGGAAAATGGGTCAGTCAACGTAAAATATGATCGGTGTTGTGGAATGAGGCTTTTTCGGCGCGAAAAGCCGGAAATTCAAATTTTATAAAAATAAGCAGGAGAAGAAAAATAAACGGTCAGTAGGGTTTTCTCCTACAAAACAATTTTGGTATGGTATAATCCAGTGACCCCTTTCTTTTGAAGCGTTACCAGAATCGATTCGAGACCGAGCTAACTGTTTGTCTCCTTCTAAATTTGTTCGTTCTGAATACGTCGAACTGCTTATCTTTACAATCATACGTTTCAGACTAAACGATTTACTCCATCTCAATAGCACAACACCTCCGTGACCGTATATGCCGCGTTCTCATCTGAAACGATTAAGTGTCCGGAATGTTTTTGGTGAGAAAGAGTCACGTGGCTATTTGTTTCAGGAACGGGTAGTTAAAGAACTAGAAATTGGTTTTTCCGTCTCATTTTTGAATGAGCTGACTATCCCTAGCTGGAATTTGTAAAGCAGCTAGTTCTTCCGCCCACGCACCTGTGCGTCTTTGCACCGATTGCTATACACAGACCAATGAGGTTTACTGGGAACAGCTAAATTGGTCTAGATAGCCCTTTTTGGAATAGGATAAGAATCACGAAATGAGAAGTTTTATTTTTTAGAATAAAATTTAACCGCACGATAACTTATTTGGTGAAAATTTCTCTTTTTTGGTATGAATGACCACATCGCACACAAATTTGTCTGTGATTGAATCCATTTTGGTTCTCCCAGAAGAAGATACTCTTCTGGGAGTGTATTTGAATTGCGACCAAACGAGTAATCCCGGACATAACTCGGTAGAGCATGTGCGTACAAAGCGTAGGCGGCGTCCATGCGTGGGTTTGAATCCCACCAAGGCTACGGAACTTTTCACAATCTCGACATACAAACTTCAAATCTGCCAAACAGTTTGAACAATCATTATCTGTTTGATGAATTATCATTTTATTTTTTTTCAGATAGTTCTGAGCACAGTTTTATTTGTACTAAGTGTGTTTGTTCTAATCTCTCACTCTCGTTTCTTCTTGTCGTCGATGCGTAATCGACGCAGATCCGTGCGTTACTGGAAGAATTGTCCGAACTGCCAGTCATGGTTGAATTGGCCAGTGATTTGCTTGATCGAAAAACACCCATTTTTCGTGATGATGTGTGCGTTTTTATCAGTCAGTCAGGTGAAACAGCTGACACATTGCTGGCTCTGCGCTACTGTATGAGTCGTGGTGCCCTCATAGTGGGGATCACGAACACCGTTGGCTCCTCGATCTCACGAGAATCCCATTGTGGAGTGCACATCAATGCTGGACCGGAAATCGGTGTGGCCAGTACTAAGGTGAGTAGAAGCTGTGACCGGATATTCTCTCTGCTCGTGTTCGTTTCTTACCCTCTCTCTCGCTCCGATCCCTTTGAGTCATTGCTCGTGTCTGGTTGGAACATCGGGCGTGCAATGTCAAGATTCGTCGTTCTGGACTGTTTGCCAATAGTCGTTCAATTGGAAGACGAATTGGCTCTACATCGTGTCCGACCGCTCAGTCACCATTTTGCGTTGTCTCTTTTTGCGCGTACTCTTTTCACGTAACTGATGAAAGCCAGAAGAATCGTCACGGCGGTCTGCCCATGACCTCTCGTTGAGTTATAAAAATGTTCTCTTTATCATTGGTTTCGGTTGGCACAGGGCGACTGACTGGAAGGATGACTTCTACTGGCAGGAAACAACGGTAGATATGATTGAGAATAAAAGTCGTTGGTGACTTGTAAAACGATTGAGAAACAAAACAAAAGAAGACAAGAAGGGAACGATGAAATAAAAAATAAACCACTTCT